ACTTTTAACTTTAATACGGTTTAACCTCCTTGTTCTACGCTCAGGGTAATACCTTGGAAGCTGCAGAATGCAGAAGTGGAATAGTGATGTACTACACATATGCAACATTTAAGTAGGCCCAAGTCAGAGATTGTTGCAATGTGTGAAAAGATGATGGTACTTTTCCATTCAGTGACACTTTGTCTCTGGTTGGAGTATGTGAAATTTGGCCTTTTATGTCCGAGAGTTGGATTATGAGCGGACATAAGAACACGACCAATCATTCATTTTGGTTCATTTGTCGGTTGACTGGTGGTGCAAGTAGAGGACTGTTTTTCAAATCCTCTTGATAGCAAATTGTTGCCATTGTTGAGGGAGTCCTCACAGATGTTGCTTCAGCTTAAGTTGCAACTTTCCCCAAGCCATCCAACCTGGTGCGTATCTGCAACTGTGCCTGCCAAAGCCAGCGTCCACCAGACCCCACCGATCTTGACTTTGACACCGTAGCATCAGGTGTACCGGAAGGCCTCCTTCAAGCAGATTTCCAGATTCGGGACTTGTGACATCTGTTTTTCTACACCGACGAGCAACTGGCAGTTTTAAAGAAAGCCAAGGTCTGGTACATGGATGGGACTTTCAAGATCATCAAGAAGCCGTTTTGCCAGTTGTTCAGCATGCATGTGTTTGTTATTGAAAAGAGACAGCCGCCAGCAGAAGCAGATTCCTCCAGCTTTCGTCATGATGGCCAGTCGAACCAAGAAAGACTACAAGACGGTCCTCAAGAAAATTAAGTCCAAGCTGCTGTCTAGATGTTCCACAATAGAAGAAATGGTCGTGGACTTTGAACCCGGCATGTGGTCCGCCATTCGCCAAGTATTTCCCTTGGTTGACATGAGAGGCTGTCTGTTTCACCGGAATCAGGCGCTTTGGCGCCAGAGCCAAGACCTGGGTCTTTCTGTTCCATTCACCACCGATGTAGTGGTTCAGCAGTATATAAAAAAATTGATGGCACTGCTATTCCTTCCCAGGAGCACATCCCAGGAGCTTTTTACAAGATGCAAGAATGAGCTTCATCGCCACTCCTGATCGAGTTGTGTCGTTACATCAAGCAAACCTGGATCACCAGCACCAAGTGGCAGCCTTCAAGTTGGACTGTCTTTGTGCAGATATGACGCACCAACAATGACGTAGAAGGTAGGCATCGCCTTATCAGTTGGAAAGCTGGCCGTCGTGGACTACAGTTCTACAAGCTCGTCCACCTACTCCACCAAGAGGCAACCTTGGTCAACATCCAAGTGAAACTCGTCAAGCAGTCCAAGTTGTGCCCATACCAGCGGAAGCAGTACATGCAGACCCAAGGCAAGGCTTTGAAGTTATGGGATAGCTACCAGGCAGGACAACCGACCACATCGGAGCCTCCTCTCAGCATGCAGCCACCTCAACGGACCATCCTTGTAGAGCAGCCAACACAAACAATCAACACAAACGGCTCTTTCCAGAGCCACACATGTTCACAAAAGAGATATTTACCTGCAATTAAAATTAAGCCCCCTCTTCCCCCAAAAAGAATTATTCCACAAGAAGTTGAACCATTAAAACCCCACCCCCCAAAAAACTCAGGCAATCGGACCCCCCCAAAAATGAAGAAAAGAAATCAAGATTTTGAAATCAAGGTTATAATTTTGTTCATAAACAAATAAAGGTATAAACATTGGTGAACAGAAACTTTCATTGCCAGCTAGTGGTTTATGTAGTTAATTCCAGCTTGCAGACTCCAGAAAATTTAATGTTAATATCAACGTGTCAATCCAAACCTATAACAGAAAAAAAAAACAAGAAGATAACACAAACTTCATGTGAACATGTGAACAAGGAAAAATGAGAAAGTTAAGTGAATTGCAAACCTGAAGGTGCGAGCTGTCTTAACTCACGGTACGAGTTGCCCATGGTACAAGTTGCCCAAGGTACGAGTCATCCAAGGTACGAGTCCATGGTACGAGTCATCAAAGGTACACTTGTCCAAGGTACGAGTTAACTCAAAAGCTTGTGCACAGGGGTATGAAGTGTTGTCCGTATACGGAACTCTTTCCGAGTCAAATTTGCATGGCTGTTTATCAGTAAGAAAGTCACATTTTCTCACAAGTTGCAATTTGAACTTTCCCCCAAATAGGGTCAGCACAATAAAGAGGGTGTTGCCTCTGCTTTTTGGGGGCTGACCAGTTGTGCAAGATTAAAATGACAAAAACATGGGATGTGCCCAGATACGGTGCATGTACATGTTCACAATCTCCGTGGTGGTGCACATCACAACTCGGAGACTGTCCCTAAACTCAGACAGTCTCTGTCCTTGTCCTACAACTGACAAAATTTTTATTGAAGCTCTCCTCAATAAAATAGTGTTGACAGACTGATAACTGATCAGTGAGTGATCTACTACAATTGGATGGTCTACAGGTGGATGGACCAATTTGATGGGTCAACAGCAGACCAATTAGATGGGTCAACAGACAGACCAATTGGATGTGTTGACAGACGGACCCCTGTAATATTAGGAATATAACACATTTACATATATACATGTACTTGCATGTACATGTACATGTAGATAATACAGCATTTACTCTACACACTGCATCATTTGTGCATAGAGCAAATACTGTGCACACACACTGGTAGTAAAAAGGCTATAGGTCATACACTGTGGTTTGAGTGTATTGCCTTGAGTTCTTGTTAACCAAAACACAGCTGTTCAACAACAGAACCTCTGAAGGAATGTGACCAATTACAGAACACTTTCTTTGGTAGACAGTCCCTGTACTCAAACCAAAACATCTAGGGTGACAGTCTTCAGATGACACATCATAAAATGACTTAGTACACAAGTAAAACCTCTTAATCTGTGTTGGTGGGCATGTACTAACCTTGAAATCTGGTAGACAAAATCATGTAAAAACACTTGCAAAAGTCAGAGTGTGATACTGCTCCGAGTATAAATATGCAATATCATTGTGGAGCTAACCTGGATATGCTAAGCTTCTCTCCTACTGGCTAAATCTGTCTCGGCACAATTTAACACAGTCGCAACTTGAGCTATGTAATAGAACAGAAATTTATCCTTACAATGTGTACAAACATCATCCTTAATTACAAAATAGGACATTGTTGAATGGAGTGTGCCAAACAAGGGGATAATCAGAACAAATGGAGAGAAGAGTACACTGTAAAATAACTTGATGTGAATGCCATGATTGGGATTGATCATAAAAACAAGCAAACAATACAAGTCCATCAACATGAGAAGAAACGCGGTCTGTAATACTAAGTAAGCAAAATAAATTTAAAAATGAAGTTACACACAGGTAGATTACTAGAAAATATTCTAAGGACAGCAACTCACCCCATATGGCTACAGTGTCGCCTTGAGTGTGCGGCTGTTGACCAGTGGTCTTCTAGGTGGTGGCGCAGACTGAATTCTGACCCTGGCATAGGCCCTTAAATGCCCTTTAGAGTCTCTTGAAGGACATTTCCATCAAGAATATGATTGGTCACTCACAAGTTTGACCAAACCCCTTCCTCAAAGTTTGATTTGTATATAAACTTCCCCATTGGTCAAATCTTTGAAAGTTCATTGTGTAACTCTGCTAATCAGCAGACAACCTGACACCTCCAGTTTGATGAATCTCCCAAACCATGTAAACCGACATTCTGTTTCTAAAAAACTTGGTCAGGACTGTAGAAAAGTTAAACACAATGCACTGGATTAGCAATTGGGGTAAACATTTATGACCTCCATCATGGCATACCACAGATGGTTCCATTTGGGTTGCATAAGGTTGGAAAATATCCTGGGAACAAGGGAGCAGAATAAGAAAAGGAAGATAACCCACAAGAAATATTCATTGTTCCATTTCCTGACATGTACATTGTATATGTAACTAATGCGAATGCAGTGTAACAGGAAGCTACTACATGTACATGTACACAACAATGCTATGCCTTCTGCCAAGCACTTAAATGTAAATAAACACAGGGTACAATCTACATGCATTGCCAAATTTGCAGCTTATAAATAATTTGATCATGAAGTGATAACATTTAGTATTTCTGCATACCGATATTAAATGTACCGGTTCATCTGTCTTGATTTGGGTCGAGCATTTCTTCATTTCTGACGATACTTCTGAATTAATCCAAAGCTATGCACTGCACCAGCAGCACATTTGTATTCGGGAACAGACCTGTACCCATGCTTGATGCACAGTTGGGACATGATCCCCTTGTCAAGTGTGTCAGTGAGCCACTTCAGTATCCCAACAGGGCATGCTCCACAGGAAGCATGTCCTAGATCATTTTTAGAACACCAACACAATACCGGTACATGTCCAGGGTGGGCCCAATCAGTGAGATGCTCATATGTGCCAATTCACACGAACATCATGCACTGAACATGTTTGGACTCGCATGATGTCATGTGCTCATTTTTTCTTGACCTTACAGTGTTACCTTTTTGAATTGGCTCATTATCTCTGAATTTATTCTATTGCATCTACCGGTATGGAACAGTGATGTACATGTACTGGTCGTCTTGAGACCGCTCTTGAGACCACTTTTTGCCGGTCTCGGTCTCCAAACTTCTGGTCTCAACTACAACACTGGTATAGAAAATTGTTGGGTTGCGCAAATATATGGAAGGGCTACGTAGTTCAAATCTGCTTGCCCTGAAGAAGGTACTCAGTGTCGGAAAGCTCAGCAATCACATATTCTAGAGCACTGATTTGATATTATATTCTTGTCCATATTGTTGGGTTGAGCATGGTTTGGCATGATACTGAATATGTTGCTAAGGTTCCGACTGTAGGCAACTTTAGGATTTAGTGTGATAACACAGACACATTCCGCTGAGCTTGTTTTGAAACTGCGTACCTTTAATGCTCCAGTTCCTCAAGTGAGCATTCAGATTACTGTGTTTGTAAGAGACTTGGAACTGTCTCTTTGAATGTCATTTGTATTGTTATTCTCAGATGTGCCGGAAGTACAAGCATGAGTGCTTCATTGGTAATCTGCCTGCCTCTGGGCATCATGATACAGCATAGCGTCCATCACTGGTGCCTGGCTCAGTGCTGCATCATCTCAAGCTTCTCACACCAACAAGTGAGGTAAGCAGACCAGCATCATGTACTTGAGAGTTTGTAGCAGAAGTGGACTACATCGAGTGCTGATTAATCTGAATGCATTGACTTGGCAAGGGCGTTTCTGCTGATGGAATGCGTAGTTGGATTTTTAATACTGAACGAACATGACAGACAGGCATGGCTTGTGGACTCAGTTGATATGTATGTCAACATGTATTGATCTGTTTGGTAAGCAATACATGACTGGTCATCCAAGCCAATTACATTGCAGTTTGCAATGTTACATGATAGTTTGTTCAGTAGCCACTGTTGCTTGCTTGCTGCTACGCAAACACAGCAATCGATCATAAACAGTAACTGTATAACCTCTCAGCATGGAGGACTATTTTGTTCATACGTTCATTAGTCTTATGGATCTGCTACTTTCTTCGACTTTCTTGTACTTTTTCACCCTGAATCATGTAGCATTCAGTAGCATTTTGTTTGTGCATACAGGTACATGTACAGTATGTTATTTGCCAGGGACCCCCAATTATGCGAGTTCCCTGAACTTTGCTACTACCAATTTAAGGTAGAGGTAAATTCTTTCCTGTTGAGTGTTTTTTGTTTGTTCTTTGGCTATGGGAACCAAATAAACACTTAAGGGGTGTCAAAATTTCATTCATTGAAATGTAGGGTAAAATTTTCACAGCAAGTGTTGCAAAAAATGAAGGCAGCTGGCAATGATTGGGAGGACAGGCACTAGTAACGTTTCTCTTCTACACCAAATGATCAACAACTGAACGTTATATTGATTTGAGGAGCCGATTAAGCATTCAGATGATACGTGTATATCATTTATTAGGCTCAGTATTATTGGTTTCCTCAGAAGAAAACAAGGAAAAAGAAAAAATGGAAACATATTTTGGCCCATTTTCAGTTAACCTTCTTGTGGTACACGACGCCAAGGCCAGGGAATTTCAAAGTATCCGAAAAAAATGGGGGAGAGATGTCCGAGGGACACTAATGTCTGTCACATGGTTTCCAGATCCCCCCCAATGCTTACTGCTCATTCTCCTCCCTTCCATCAACACAGAGTTATGTCACTGGTATGGTATTTTTGGTTGGTTAATAATACCTAGAATTGAATAGTACTGTCTGTCAGCATAAGTCCATTCTTGGTCTTAATCTTCAGGATCTGGTTTTGATCTTGGTCTTGAAGCAATTGACTTATACACGTACTGGTCTCAGGTACATGTACAGTGCATATTGAGGAGGAGGCGTTGCATGTGATCTTGTGTCATGGTCCACCACTGCATTGACAGACAGGCTTGGAAAAAAAGAATGTGGATACATGTACATGTACATGTACTTGTACTTGTACTTGTAGTAGTAGGTGACGTGTGCCTCTTATCACATAGAGCCGTTTAAAGACTGCATGTACAGTAATTTTGATGTGTTTGAGTTCAGGTTCATAACCGTTATGCAGGCAGCATGTGGTTATTCCTACATGTACATGTAGCTTGGCTCCCAATGGCACACGTCAGTAAATGTGTACATATTGCATGCCATCACAAACAAAGCCTGAATTGTGAATGGGTATTTCAGCCACCAACCAGATCCAAGAGTTAAGTGTAATGTCCAAAATGCTCGATACATATACATGTATGTACTGCATGGGCAATTCCACCGGTAACAGACTGACACATTGGAAGAGGTGTCACAATGGTTCCCTTCTGTAAAGTGACTATAGTAAGGTCAGGACCTAAACTGAAGTGTATTTGGATTCATCGTCAGTAGTTTTACGTTCTGCAGTTTCTCTCTCAACGTGTTTTTTCTAGGAGTCATCTTAGGTTAGGTGTGTTGGTAACAGACAGACAGTTTTGCAACCTGGCTTTTTATGAGGGTAGTGTTAAATGGCAAAACTCTCTGAAGTTTGCAAATAACATGTAATGGTATACTAAAGACATTATAAGGGTACATGTAAGTCCTTCCCACTTGAAGGTGGTGGTTTCCCTAAATCAGTGTTGGATAAAATAGCGGGATCAGAACTACATGTACATATAAGCTCAGTAACAGACTGACATCCTCTGAATTTGAGTACATCATGCATCTACAGTACATGGAGTATTTGAGATTTGGGATACTCTTGTACCGGTAGCCTTCTGAAATGACATTTTTTTTTCATAAAGTGGTCTTTTATTAATTTAGTGTAAAATGTTACTCAGTAAAATGGATACATCAATTGACTAAACCAAATAAAATACTGGTGCTTGCAGCCAAATGAAGTCTGCCCTTGGTTCTACATGTACTCACATTGACGTGTACAGTACATTACTGTGCCATACATGTATAGTACATGTGCATGTATGCATCATATGTCCCCTGTTCACCTGTTTGGGCTGTTGACCAATGTATCAGTGACGCAGCTGTTTGTTCCGTTAATGTATGTACACAGAAAAAGAAAACAGCAACAAAGATTGCAGATACATGTAGCCGTGACAACAGCCTTGTGTGACAAGTGACCATTGGTTCAAGTGCCTTGGACTAGTAAACTAAAACTGAAAGTTTCCCCTTCCCAGTCAGCCTAGCATTACATTGAACTCTGTACAGGTATCGGTACATGCACCTGTATTTTGATTTTCAGGTGAGACCGTCCTTCAATTCACTCAACTTGAGTTCTCTTTTCAAAGATACCGTCCAGTATATTCCAACATTTGCAACCTTGAAGTCGAGTCCTCAAATCCAATTACAGAGTTCTCTGAGTACTCTGGGGACCGAGTTATGGGCTGATTACAAGTACATGTACTGGTGACAAGTTCGAGTCCAAAGCACCAAGTATGAGTACATTCAAAGCCTGAGTACTGGGCCGAGTCTGAGTACTGGGCCGAGTCTGAGTACTGAGGCCTGAGTCTGAGTATAATATTAAGATGCCCACTTTATAATATAATATCAGGAATCGCCAACATACATGTATTTAACTGTGAAAAAGCTACAGTGTATGATAAAGTGCAACAAAACCTCTCTCGCCGTCAGCCAACTTTCATGCACAGTGCTACATGTACAATTTCCTATTGCTTACTACGTACAGTGTTTGTGAAATGCATAGAGCCTCCGTTATCATAAAATCATGTGCTTAGTAACGCCATTAAATTGGGCCTAGCCTGACCTAGCCCAGGCACTATGCTGAACTTATGAAACATGTACATGTATGTACATGTCTGTGTACAGTCAGCAAAGAGTGCGTAGCAGTGTTTTCATTTGAAAAAGAGTGGATTCAATTCAACATCTTGCTGCAAGTTGCAACAGGCAATATTCGCAGACTGGTTCTGGAAACTTGGAGTGTATGTAAGAGAGGCAGGAATCAGAGTTGTGATGACTCGAGTCAATAACTTGACTCAAGTCCTATTAGAGTCACAATGTTTGGTGATGAGACTCTATTTGACTCGAGTTGCAATAGGTAAATGACTTGACTTGAGTCAATGTACCAGGTACGCGGCCCTTCGATATTGTAGGGATTGTTTTCCCAGGCCTAACCTACATGTAAGTTCAGGGTTTGCAAGTCTGAAACTGGTTGTGGTGTCGACTTTAACCTAAACTTGGGTTCCTCCTCGGTCCAGAGATCACTCAGAGCTACCTAAAGGCTGAGAGAGTGGATCCGTTTTGGTGAAAATATATTGCCAATTATGATGACTGTGATGCTCTCTGCCAATTCGACAATACACAACAAGGACACTTGACAATTAGATTGCCGGTAAGCTCATCAACCATGTGATTTATTCAGACATTCAACAAATAATCAATTGATTAAATGATTAAGGATAATTTTTATTAGTTAAATCTTTGTTACAACCTGTATTGCTTTGCGTGGTCTTGAGGAAAGGCTATTAGCAATACACAGCTACATGTAATATCGTACTGCGTCGCGCCAATCAGCAACGCACAGACTGTCGCCTTGCGCAACTCCTGTGCAACGCACCAACCAGTGTTGCATTACATGAATGCTTAGTCACTATCAGCAATGCACGTCCAGTATTGGGAAACATGAGACCAATTACCAACGCTGAACCCAAGTCGCACTGCACACCCTAATGTTACTCTGCCGAAACAACATCGCATTGCATAGCCCAGTCTCACTGTAGTGGTACGGCCCGCATGCACTAAGCACCACGGCACCGTGGGCCCAGCCCAAATCTAATGCACCCGCAAGTAGACGGCTAGACTGCGCAACCTATCCTAAGACAATCCGCCTGCGCCTAGCATATACACAATGTAGTATCATGTACAACGCCTTATAGCAATGCACGCCGCAGCGAGAGCACGAAGAACTCGCATCTTTACAGCTTTGCTGACACGTGTAGAGCCCAGAGCAAGTTCCGCCCACGTACTCGCAAACCAACGAGTTTACCCCAAACTTGAGAGAGTTTGTACACTTTCTGCTACAATATCCAAACCCAGTTCCATTTTTTGGACCCGATATCTGTTTAAAAAAAATGAAAATTCACGTATATGAGATTTAAGAGTGAAGGGAAGAATTGCTGAAAACTCACCATGCCGCTTGAAAACCCAGTCCTGCTGTCACAGCTGTGGTTCAGAGATCCACGGAGCTACTTTTGTTAAAAAATAAGGTAAAATTTTTGTTTTGTTCATAAAATGGTTTGGGATATTCCCCTTAATGTTTAGAACAATGTGCTGCGTCCTACATGTATGTAGGAAAAAAGAACCCTGTTTCAGGCACATGGTCCGCCAGGATTGCTTGCAATGCCATTTGTTACGTGTTATTTGTTTTTTTTATTTCAAGGGGAGCCATTAGGCTCCATTATTCCATTCATTTCTGACACATTACAATTCTATGTCCATATAAAGGAACAACATAAACTATTCACAATTTAAAACATTCGAAAAAGAAATCATGATTACACAAATAGAATTAATACAAACTTAAATGGCCATTTGCCCCAACTGAAGAAGTATATCATTATATATAACGGGTTCGCCCTTGCCCAATGTACATGTATATTTATAAGCACTGTATCCTCAGTGCTTGTCCAAGAGCTTGC